GTGTGTGTGTGTGTGTGTGTGTGTGTAGGTATGTATGTACATGGTCGATTTATCAGAAAAGGGACTTCTTAGGTTTATCTCCATTCCAGAGGCAGACTAAAGACATGGAGTCTCTCTCACTCTCTCTCTTCCCATATATATATATATATATATATATATATATATATATATATATATATATATATATATATATATATATATATAATGTAAAATATATTATATTTTAAGGTATGCTGTATTTATAATAGAGTACTCAATTTCAGGGATAAAATGTATGCAAATATAAAAGAGTACGCTGATGTCAGCACACAGATTCGACAATCTGTTTTGATGCGGAAACACAATCGTCAGACGATCTATATATTATTATATAATGTGTTTGTATTGGTAGCTAACTAGATAGATAGATAGATAGATAGATAGATAGATAGATATGGACAGACTGAGACTGTTAGATATTTATTTCTTGATGTATTTCTTGATTTCAGCACATACAAATTTACTACTTCTCTATATCTGAAACCCACTAACATTAACTTGTGTCTTCTCAATTATAATAGTGAATGCCCTCAATGATATAAGTTAGCCGTTATAAAAAATTTATCCAACGCACACAAATGATATCTTCTTCCAAAATCATATTCTATAAAGAATTACAAGATTAAACAAACACTTGTTAATAATGGAATTTCTAATTCCGTCTTTGATCAACAAATTTAAATAAACTTAATAATACCTCTAATAAAATTAATAATATTAATAAAAATAGTGTATGTCAAAATAACATAACACTATTAATTATTGTAACTAAATGCATAAGAATTAGAAACAAGATGAAACAACATTGAAAAACAGATTAGATAGAAATGTTAAACCCATTAATAATAATAAACAGGTTAAGCTCATCTTATATTATAAAAAATTAAAAAAAATGGCCTCGTAATTTCTAATAACCCTACAACCACATAGCTATATCCTCTACAAAAAACAAAAAAAAACAAAAAAAAAACATTGTAGTTTATCAATTTACATATCCCGTTCAGAGATTGTATCTCTGATACTATTAATAAACCCACTACATATATTGGTTTTACTACAACCACGATCTCCTGTAGACTTACCTGTCACCTTTCTGATCTTAGTTCTGTTAAAAAAACATTTCTTAAAAAAACACAGCCATGAACATCATATTAGACAGATATTAGTTGATAACGCAACAATACTCAAACATACACACAGTAAAAAGTACCTTCAGATATTGTAGGTTACCTATATTAAAACAAAGCAACCCACACTCAATAAAATTACCTTTCAAACTAGTCACAATACATTACTCTGCATCTAGACATGTGGTTCTGTTGTTAATATTTTGGTCTCTTACGTGGTATGACGACATAGAACGGCATCATGAATTTACGACCTGCGTCTACTATTCCGCGACCGTTATCGTCGCATAGCAATCTTCTATATCAACATAAAATATTATTTTGATGGTGAATATCTTTGTTTAAATGTCTGCATAACCACTCTGAAGATGGCTTATGTGAGCCGAAGGCTTAGATCAAGGAACAGCTTAATAAAAATATCCAAATAATAAAAATATCTGAAATTAAAGCAAATATACGGGGTTTAAAACGGCTCATGATCAAACATAATAGGCATTCATTGTCTGTTATATTTAACAAGGGAGAGATTATAGTTGTTCCAACGAGAGGAAAGTGTATATTTTAAAGGAAAAAAAGCAGCCGCAAACGTTTTTTAGTGATAATATATATTATAATTTCTTTTCCATATTTTTTAAAGTAAAATATATAAAAAATTCATGTTACAACCAAAAACATTTGCGGCTTCTCTCTCTCTCTCTCTCACTCTCTCTCTCTGTATATATATATATATATATATATATATATATATATATATATATATATATATATATATATATATATATATATATATATATATATATATATATATATATATATATTATTCTCTTATCTGAATAAGATATAGATTGTGCTGCAAGTATTCATTCAAACAAGATCGATTAAAAAGAACCGACAGTGCCTCATTTTTTGTGTTGAATATTGCAATTAAAACAATTTATCCACAAATTCGATCATAATGCTCAACATGTTATTTGAAAATTGGAAAAAAAAAAGAACAATAAAAATTTAAACAGACAGACATTCTCGGTTCTTTTTACTCGTTTAGATATATATTTATTGTAGAGAAATGCCACCCAACAGACAAATAAAGTCTCTGGCACACCATGAAGGAGGAGATTGGGGGAAAGAAAAAAAAAAGATTGACCATAAAATTACATCCACCCCAGCGCGGTCAGAATCATATAGACGACCTCATAAATAATACTGTATCCACAGCTCAAGAGTCAACCGTCCAATAATGGCTACGAGTTCCTTATGAAAATATTACACATGTTCAAAATAATTTTCTTTAAAAGTCCTCCACCTACGCCAAAATAAAAGTGTCAAGCTTCATTTTATTTTTAGTTCAGCAAACGCAGAATCGGGTTCGAAAATTCCGATTTTTAACCCTTTTTTCCATCATTTTTATTTTGTCTAATTTCGCAGTAATATAAAAGTATTATTATTATTATTATTATTATTATTATTATTATTATTATTATTATTATTTTGTTTGATTTCTGGCGTATACACATTTCTTTCCGGGTCCCGCCCAGGGACCTAAGGTTAGAAATGGCATCATGACACTTTCCACTGACCAAAAAAAAAAAAAAATTACATAGATAAAGCCCTTCGTAAAGTGTTGATTATACTTGTGAGAACAATTTATGTATTTGTATCTCCTTGAGGCATGGACTTCCAGGAATCCCTTCAATTAGTCTACTGCAATCTTTTCCAACCAGTCCTAGGGCTCCAACTACAACAGGGATTGTTGATGTTCCCATATACCACATTTCTGGGATTTCTATTTCAAGGTACTTGTATTTTGACAGCTTTTTGAATATCTTCAAAGATACATTGTATTCAGCAGAGACTGCCATATCAATAAGGAATAAGGAGGTGCCGTTATTGTTTGTGGTCTTTAATAACAATGTCTGGGCGGTTGGCCTTGATTGTTCTGTCAGTGTCTATTGTTTAGTCCCATAGAATTGTAACAGGTTCTATCTCCGTCGATTATTATTATTATTATTATTATTATTTTATTATTATTATTATTAATATTTATTTTTCGACATAATATATATATATATATATATATATATATATATATATATATATATATATATCAATGTGTTGTTCACCTCAAAAAAAAGCCAAATTTTCCCATTCAAATTCATAGCCCACGTTGAAGTAAGCAAAACAAAATTTTTAACCAAAATTTCAAAGTTTCTAAATAGGATTAAAACACTTCTTGGTCTTTCCTTTTAATAATATCACAAAGATTTTGACGATAATTTTTTTATCATGTATCCTAATTTGTTAGCGTATCTTTAGAGATACCTGCTTAATTTGTTACTGTATTGTTTTCCAATTTTATCTATCTATCTATCTATCTATCTATCTATCTATCTATCTATCTCTCTCTCTCTCTCTCTATATATATATATATATATTCGTACACACATACACACACACAGATGGGTGTCTGGGTTTTCTATAGGATATCGGTGCACAACGGTAGACATGCTTATCGAGTTAGAATTCTGAATTAGGCTCTGTTACCTTAGATTTGATTCACGTGGAAAAGTGATGATACCCATCTTTCGGGAGCTATGGGTTAAATAGTAGGGTAGACTAGAATCTTTAGCCTTGTTAGGACAAGCTCTCTAAGAAACGGGAAAACACTGAATTCAAAAGAAGCTTGAAGAGGAATTGATCACCCTTAATCATCTTTAAGTCTTTGCCACAGAAACAAAATTTAGATATAAATATTGTTTCTTTCTTTTAGTGTTTTTTTTTTTTTTTTTTTTTAATATTATTGTTAGGAAAAATATTATATCTTGCGTTGATTTAAAAAAAAAACAAAAAAAAAACAATTGATTTTCAGGACAAGTGATTTCTACATTATGTTTCTGTTACTGCCCGACGCCATTTCTCTTTCTGAATTAGGGTTATTTCGAAACGAAAGGGTGATTATTCATATAATTTATTTACCATAACGTTTCAGCCGGTGTTACCTCAAGCTTTCATCAGTTGTCAAGAAAGTAAAAATTACGAGGATAAAGGGGATAGATAACGATTAACTCAGGACTTGAAATGTTTAGACTAGTATTCTGGGAAACATTCCCGCTGGGTTCTGTTCCGCAAAGTGGAAAATACTTGAAAAAAAAAAAAACTGTTTGATAGTTGCTTTCTTCTTATTAATGGAATACGGGGGAAATGCGTGTGATCCGAATCCGTGGACGTAACATGACGATTTTAGGTATAGAGTTATGAACTGGAGGATGATTATCTGGACTATTTGTTAACCATGATGGCATCTATCTGTTGATCTGGATAATATTCAGTAATTTTAAACTGAACCCTTTATTTAATCTACGAAAGCAAATTTGTCTCATCCAGCCGAGCCAGGGACTAGAGTTTTAAGGCACTTATCTATTTTCTCGGGAGATGAAAACAAGACGGCTGAGACGTTTTGAAAGTGCCGGCAAGCAATCTATATAAAAAGAAGAGCTAACTGTCTGTCCGTCACACACTGTCTGCGTCTCTAATGTATATATGTGTGTCTGTGTTGCGTGTGAGCGACTTATATGTGCTTTTGCCATTTAATGTACACATGTGCGCACACATATACACGCAGTTTAACTGAGTTTGAAATAAAACGTTTAAATACGACATTCCACCCCACTTAGTCTACACAACCTTTACCCTGGGCTGAGCAACGAAATAATAAATCCGAGAATAATCAGATACTTACAAGATTTTATTTGATTTTTCGGAAATTATTCGATAATAAATAATTTTTTTTAAGATTGTGAAAATATTTTCAGGTCTGTCATTGAATTAAAACAGACTTACGACCATATAATGTTCAAACATCGGTTCCCGTACGAACACCGAAGTTAAGCAACGTTAAGTCTACTCAGTACCTGGATGGGTGACTGCCGTGCTGTAAGCATGGCAGTGAGAGTTTTGTAATGGATAATGGTTCAGAATATTTAATCGAAGATCCAAGATCTAATTCCCATCGGGTTCATTATAATGTCTTATACGAAAGGTATGAATTCCCTTCTCTCTCCTCCTGGCTTTATTTTCTGGCTTTAAATAACCTGCAAAGGGTTGATGAACCGTAAAAACGAATTAATTGATCATGAATTAAAATATACACACACGCAAACAAACCTAAACTCAAAAAAATTGAATGAAATTGAAATTTGTGCCGTGAGGGCTAATTTTTCTTTTTATCGAGTAACAATCATTGGCTAACAGGAAAAATACTACCAGTTCTCACCGTCGTAACGTAGTTTCCCTCTGCCTTTTCTATAAATACTTTCATGGTAATTGTTCTGATGAACTTTCCTCTATAGTATCTAGACTTGATGATTTCAAGCGCAGTACTAGATTGGCGTCTAGGTCTCACATTTTTACAGTTGAAATGTAACCGTAAGTTCTATGCTAACAGTTTCTTCTCCCGCACTTCCCGCTTTTAGAACTCTCTTACAGCTCCTTGCCTCCCTGTGATCTTCAAAGATTTAAATGCAATGTCAATCACCATCTTCTGTGGGATGTGGTTGCTGAAATGGTGAGGTTGGTTAATTCGTTCTGTATCCCCAAAATGATCAAATCAAGACCCGATTCCTAACATTCTCTGTCGTCATGTGGCATGGCAGTAAGTTATTTCAAGAAGAACTTTTAATGATATCAGCCGTGACCTGGCATTTCGGCTTTATCCACCTTCCAACTGCCGTAACGAAGCTTACCCTGGGAATTTTCCCTAAATATTTTCCTGGAGATTGTTCAGTATTAGCTCTTATCCTTGGTAATTCAATGGCATAGATTTAAGTGTGCTACTAGACAGATGACAAGGTTGCATTATCTAAATTGTCCAGGGTATGACGATAAACTACATCCGGCAGCAGAGCCTCTGATCGGGAAATAGGAGGTTTTAAGGAGCGTGCAACTGCCTTTTAATTGCTATTGTTCCCAGGTCAATTGTGACCCGGTGTGGTATCACCGATTAGGATCACTAATGTTCACCCAATGCAAGCGCCAAGAGTCACTCAAGGCAGAGGGTTACTGTATGGAATTGTATCAGCGTAAGAAAGGGTAAGATAATAAGATAGAGTCTAGACATGAAGAGGTCAAGATTTAATTAGCGAATAAAATTTCAGAGTTCAAGCGGAGACGTTCGAATTATAGCGTATGTACACGTTGGTGTAGTGGATAGTGGCTTGGATTGATGAATCGGAGAGCCGAGTTCGAATTCCAGTCGAATCCATTACATCCACTTACGTGCTTACGAAAGGTGTGAATCTTCTTCTCTCTCCAGCTATGGACAGACTGGGTTCTATAATCTTGGATACAACTGGTCTGAATTCAAAACCTGCGGAGGGTCGTTTGCGGACCTTGTGGCACGTAGTGCACCTGGTCTCTGTATTCGGCCCTTCAAAAAGTGCACAAAACATTCACCACTATAATAAAATCTCATGAGCTGTTGTCAGGCTGTCGGTTTCCTCGGAGCTGAGCTGCTTGAGCCTCATACGTCGAATTTGACAGAGAGCCGAGAGAGAGAGAGAGAGAGAGAGAGAGAGAGAGAGAGAGAGATATATATATATATATATATATATATATATAAATATATATATATATATATATATATATATATATATATATAGAGAGAGAGTGTGAGTATATATATATATAGAGAGAGAGAGAGAGTGAGTATATATATATATAAAGAGAGAGAGAGTGCGAGTATATATATATATATATAGAGAGAGAGTATATATATAGAGAGTGAGAGAGAGTGTGTGTGAGTATATATATATAGAGAGAGAGAGAGAGAAAGAGAGTATATATATATATATAGAGAGAGAGGGCGTGAGTATATATATATATATATATAGAGAGAGAGAGTGAGTATATATATATATATATATATATATAGAGAGAGTGTGTGAGTATATATATATATATATTGAGTGAGTATATATATATATATATATATATATATATATATATATATATATATAGTGAGAGAGAGATAAAATTTGTCACTTGTTTGGTTTTACTTTTTTTATAGCGCTGAAGTAGAAGAGAGAGTGAGACCTAATCATAAACAGAAAACAAGAGATGTACCTCCACTGCTGTTTGGGGAAGTGCGCGAATCGGGTGATATCTACTCCTATTGGTAAAGGAGAAAATAATAAAAATTTCAGATTTCAGGTGGAGACGTGAGAAGTACAGAGTTGGATAACAAAACAAAAAAAAAAGTGGAAACAAAATTCTAAACAGGAAACAGTGGATAAACCTCTACTCCTGTTCAAATAATCGCGGAGAAGTATGAACCGGAGGAAAAGCGAGCCTATCTACTATGAGCAAACAGTGAACCCTAAACAAAATAAAAGACAATGAAAGCATAAAAATACATACAAAATACATTTTTATAGTAAAAAATACCAGCAATACATTTTTATATATAAAAACGTTATCTTCTGTCTTCTTAATTCCTATTCTTTTATTGTTCTCTGTCCTTGATAATATTTTTTCTTCTTTTTCTTATATTCTTTTACATTCAGTTACTCTCCTTGTATCTTAGTGGCTTTACTGCCTTGCTTGGGGGGGATTATTAAAAAGATTAACTGCTAAGTGAAGTTTTCTTTCTATCAGTGTCAAAAAGCGTCATTAACTCGGGACAGTGTGGATATTCAAACCTTTTATGCTTTCTTTATACAGAGTGCCACAAATAAAAAGTTGGTGATTAAATTAGATTTTAAAAGTAGAGTGGGGGGTTAACGCCAATGTTAAAATTGGTTGTGCTAAATCAGATATTAACTTTTAAAGATTGCTGATTCTACAGCCTTTTTTTTTTATTTGATTCTCCTATTATTTACATGCGAAATGTTGTACGGATCCATGTCATTATCGCAACGTTTCAACCGGTGTGACCCAGCCTCCTTCAGATTCTTGTCGATTCAGATAACCATCTCTGAAGTCGTTTTTATATCTTCTGTATTTTAACTGGATATATTTTCAAATAAAGTTTGCCTTTTAAATGGATAAACAATTTTGATTTGGAATTTGATCATCTTGGCCTCAGTGAAGTGACAGGTACCGAATTAATGGTAATCGTGATAGCTCATTATGCTAGATATTCAGACACAAACAAAGCAAGCTTGTTTAAAATCACTAAAAACCGTTTTCCTAATCGTGTCAGTATGGAGAAAAGGCCGTAGTGAGAGTCTGTATATCATCTCTATTAATATAGACTTCTTTCTAATTGATTCTTTTATCCAAATCACCTCAGCTTATCAACGTCTTCCCGTCCATCCTTTCCCCATAACGCCTTAACTATTCTATTTTTTTCTCGCGTCAGGTTTTCTTTGTTGGCTTCAGGAATTTTGGCGCGCGTGTACAGGTTCCAATATAAAAGATATTTTTTTTTGCCAGGTTTCCTGTTTCAAAAAAAAAAAAAAAAAAAAAAAAAAAATCCCTCTCCCTCCTTGCTATCCGACACTGCTAAGTTTATCAACCCGTATTTGCCACACACTATCTCTCTCCGCTTCCACCATCCCAAATATCCAGTTCATCAATTCGTGAAATTCCGGCTCGTTCTTGCCAATATCTAATTAAGGCCTCCGTTGTGGGCTTGGCTGTAAACCCCACCAATCTGCCTCCACCGTTTCTTCCCGCCAGTTTTGCTTTTCTTTCCTTCTTTGTCAGCGCTCTTCTTTGTTAAACACAACACTCTGTCTAACCTGCCTTGTCTCACTCGATATTCATTTATCCTAAGAACTCCTTTCCAATGGCAAATCCAGATTTAATCTCCGATCATCCCGGGAAGTGTAATCGTGGCTCTGACTCCGTCAGCGGTTGTGGAATCACTGTGTACAATGAAATCACATCAGATGGGGGCGGAGCGAGTTGGGATAATTTGGAAGGAAGGGGTCGTATTAAGTATCGGTGACAGTGAGATCTAGGCATTACCAGCTGACAAAAATTCAATCGAATAAAAATTTTAAAAAAAATGAATCGAACGAAGAAATATCCAAAGCTAAGGATTTAATGGAACTGGATCAACATGAAACTGTATTTGAGAAAATGTGTCTTCCTGTTTTACTTTAGTCAGAAGCGTCCTCTAGTGGCATTAATTCATTTTTGCTTGAGGTCTACTTCGGATTCTTTTTTTCTTTACTCTCCTAACTTCTTTCCTGCAAATCGGGGAAGATATTTTCGTTCTAAAATTTCGATTGACGATTGTGTACTGGACATTTGTGTTACGGACAATTGCGTAGCAGACAATTGCGTAGCAGACAATTGCGTCCTAGGACATTTGCGTCTCTAGACAAATGCGTCCCTGGATAATTTTATCAATTTACAATATTTTCTTTTCTGAATTTTTTTTTATTGCAAACCAACAGTTAATTATTGTAAACAAACCAAAAGATAGTTAACATAAATTTTGAAAGAAAAACACATTAAAGTTGCTTAATATAGAAATGTGCACATTAATACCTGTAATTACTGCAAACAAGCAGAAAAGTATCTGTCTATATTTCTGAGATGAGGTATTATGTACATTATTTACATTATTCAGACTATTGTCCTCATCTTTGTTGCCATATTTTATTACAACGTTTCGGCCCTTCAGTATCTGTCTATATTTCTGAGATGAAGTATTATGTACACTAATTGCATT